AATCCGTCACCACTCTTCCTTGGCCAGCAAGAAGTCCAGTTCTCAACCCTATAGAGCATCTGTGGGACCAATTGGGTAGGCGAATACAGGCTTTCGAGCCTCCTCCACAGACATTGCAACAGTTAGAAGCTCACTTGCACCGACAATGGCGACAGATAACGCTTCAACAAATCAGACGTCTAACTGGCAGTATGCGGCGCAGGGTTGCAGCAGTCATCCAGGCAAACGGTGGATATACCCGATATTGACTTTTCGATGACTAATTATCAATGTGTGGGTCATGATTGACTATTTTGTAATGTGATTTGACAATTCAATTAACGGGATTATAAATTACCATTCAATCTAAACGTGTTTATCAAATGAAATTATGCATTATTGGGCACAAGAAAACAAGATTATCACCGTAAAATAACAATTTTTAATTTACATATCATGACATCAAAATATGGACAGTTTTCACGCTTAAAATTATCTTTAATAAGTATTGTCAGTGAAAGCTCAAAAAGTCACAAGAACGTTGAATCTGAATCACTTGAAAAAAACACGGGGGTGCTTAACTTTTTTCCAGGTGTATAAATACGTCTTCTGTATTACCCATTGTTTTAAAAACAACCAAACGTGTTTATTAGTATATATTTTCATAGCGTTTTTCATCATAAAAATAGGTTACTTTTCCGTCAGTCGTTGACAACGATGACTAATAAAACATTTTTTGGTATTTATGTAAAATTTGTGATTTGTTTTAGTTATAAAGACAAACATCTACTTGTTTGTAATATTATACTTTGTTATGTAATGAATAAAAAAACAACAACAACTGTAATTAAAAAGAAAACATTTTAAACGGGCTAGGTATAATATTAGAAGACCAAGAAAAACAGGGTTTAACCTTAAAACATCATGTCAAAAGTTGCTGTTTTGTTTGTTTTGTCCCAATACGTTATCATCATATGTATAATGCTTACTTATTCCTGCCTGTTGAAAAGCCATTATCTAGCTTTTTAATTTGTCATAAGCACTGAGTTACTTGTTTGTTTGTAATTAAGCACAAAGCTGCACAATGGGCTATCTTTGCTCTGTCCACCACGGGTATCGAAACCCGGATTCTAGCGTTGTAAGTCCGCAGACATACCGCTGTGCTATTGGGGGGCACTGAGTTACTGACAAGAAGTAAGTCGGAGCAACAGAGAGAAACAAAATGTACAAGCTCCTCAGTGTTTAATTTTTCAAGGAACTATTAAGCAAATAGTTCTGAGTTATCGTTATAGTCGTTTTATGTTTTTATTGTGACGAGTAATATCGGCGCTGTGTAAATCACCGACCTCGGTGAGTAACTAAAAAAAAAAAGGAAAAGAGTTAAAAGTTTTGTATTGATACAAAGTTTAACCTTTTAGATAAATAAGGAAAGGTGAGTTTTGAAAATGTTTTTAATATAAAACCTGCAATGGACGCTAGCTTCGAACAAATGTACTTCGTTTTTTTTTATTCCGAAACTTATCGGTCTAATAGATTTATAAAGCATTTTAATAAAAATGCAATATAACTGAAGTGGAAAATTCTCTCTCAGTCTATACGAAAAATGTAGACAAATGGTAAATTACCATTTTTCTATTTTCGCGTAGCAACCATATCTAAAACTTGGAATGTAGTTTACGTGAAATAATTCAGTTGAAACAACAACGGTCAATTAGTGTTATTTTGACAAACAAGAAGATCACAGTATAAAACTATTTCTCACTTGTTGAAGAGCACAATGTCTGGTTTCCATACTTTGTCCGGAGGTAACCTGAGCACACTAATTCCACCATAATCGGCTTCGTCCCATATGAGTTGGTAGTCATTCCAGGCCTAAGAGACAGTAAGAAAAACTCTTTGTAGGATCAAAAGAAAAAATATAAGAAAATAAATATAAAACTGAGTAAGACTAGAACACTAAAACAGTTTTAACAGGACAAGATGATGATGAATTTTAAATAGAGTAACTTTAAGAACAGAAACAGAAGAAAAACCGTTTGAAATATATGTACTATAGCTAGAAGAAATATTTTCAAATATACATCATGAAAACAGGAAACTCCAAAGTAGATGTAAATATGTATATCAGGATTGAAACTCAGTGTGTGTAGTTAGTTAGACAATAACAATTACTAAAAATAATGGATGAGTTATGATAAATTTTATTTTATTTATTTAGAGAAAATTATTCAAAAATTCAAGTAAACAAGATAAAGTTATTATCGAAGGTAAGGAAATGAATTCTTTTAAAAATATTACTTATAATAGAGGCGTAAAAAGGATGAGAAATAAGCATTAATATCGTATAGAGAATAAAATATATGAAATATTTGAAAGAAGTGTAAAAGCTTATACGTGTATACTAATAATAGAAAATGAAAAATGCAAATAAGAAATGATGTTATTTTAAATAGAGATTAAAAATGTAAAACAATAATCATTGTGATTCCAGGTTTGAAGGTAATATAATGTATTAAAATAAATATAGGAAATGTAAATTAAGAAAAATATTCATGAGAAAAGATGATTTCAACACAATAAGTAAGAGAGCAATTCGCGTATAATACTGAAATACATAGTTACTCTAGGAAGAGGAGAAATTCACGTATAATACTGAAATACATAGTTACTCTAGGAAGAGGAGAAATTCACGTATAATACTGAAATACATAGTTACTCTAGGTAGAGGAGAAATTCACGTATAATACTG